CACTGAGCAGTGGGCCTACCCTGTCTTTGGTCTTCCTCTTGCTTCTAGCTTGCAAGTCATGGGAGATTAGGCCTCAGCTGGAGTACTGTGTCCGATTTTGGTCACCAACGTATAGAAAGGATGTAGAGAAACTGGAAAGGATCCAGGGGCGAGCAACAAAGATGATCAAAGGGATGAAATGCAAGCCATGTGAACAAAGGCTGAAGGAACTGGGAATATTCTGTTCGGAAAAGAGGAGATTGAGGGAGGGACATGATAGCAGTCTTCAAATACTGGAAAGGCTGCTATAAAAAAAGACAGGAAAAAGCTGTTCTTTCTTGCCCCAGAGGGCAGGACAAGAGGCAATGGGTTCAAACTACAGCATAGCAGATTTTGAGTAAATCTCAGGGGAAACTTTCTAACCGTAAGAACGGTAGGACAATGGAACAGGCTGCCTAGGGAGGTAGTGGAAGCTCCTTCACTGGAGGTTTTCAAAAGGAGGCTGGATCGCCATCTGCCTTGGATGTCCCTTTAACCTTTGTTGATAAAAGTGACAATTGTTCCTTAGTCACGATGGCCATGCACAAGACAGGAAAACGTGGAGGTACAAAGAATGAGTCTGTGAGGGCCGCAGAGAAAATGAATGTACTGGGGAGCTGGACAAGGAAATATGTAGAGTCTGGGGATGTAGAAGGCATGAGATGGATGTGGGGGGAATGTGGGAGGCAGCAGGCAGACTGAGGAGGAATGCAGGAGAATGTGAGGAGGAGAAGACTATGAGGAGAAAGAGGGAAATATGGGGGGCAAATGAATGTAGGGAATAGATAGGGTACAGGAGCATACAGGGTGAATGAGAATAGGGCTGTTCCCTATCCTTTCAAAGGAGGGAGGGGGATAGAAAGGCAAGTTCCCCAAGCACCAGCAGATAGACAAGGGTAAGCGGAGCTCTCTCCGATTAGTGAACAGGGAGGCTACATTCTTGTGAGTGTATTTAAGGTTGAATTTTGACCCTGAGATAACATACAAGTTGCGGAGGGGAGGTGTTCGTCCCCCTAAAGGTGAAAACAATCAAAAAGCATGTGAAAATGTTGCATGTTTTTATATCCTAATTTTTAAGCCAATCACGATTGGGATATTTTGGGGGCATTAGGGGTCTGACTCATGATTTTTGAACATTTGGAGTTGTCAATATTGAGGATGAGTCTGGAACATTTGGAGGGGGAAGGAAGACCTGTTGAGTATCCCAGACCAGGCTGAAGTCTATTCTGTGGTTAATTTGGGGGCTGGAGTTGCCTGATAATCATTCTCCTTCCATGGCCAGAGGAAGAATGATTTAGGCTAAAATATTGTACAAACTACAGTGGTTTTGACACTAAGGGCTTGTCTACAGTTACCGTGGGACCCTGTAAATCAACCACAGATCGCTCTCCTGTTGACTTCTGTACTCCACCACATCGAGAAGAGTAAGTGGAGTCGACAGGAGAGCATCTCCCATCGACATCGCATAGTGTGGACCCCGTGGTAAGTAGATCTAAGCTACGTCGACTTGCGTTACGCTATTCACGTAGTGTAGACAAGGCCTAAGCCAGGCGAAAGGTGGAGGCCATTCGAACTAAGCTTGTCTGAGTTTTCTGGTTTGTTTGAATGTGAAATACAAAGTGAAACTCCAATAGATGAACTCCCACAAACTGAAAAGTGAACTCTGTGCAAATTGGAAACTGTTTCACACAACTCCGCTACTCCAGTTTTTATATTTAACAATGTTGGGAATTTTTTTCTTAGATGGTCCATTGAGGTTTAATTTCTTTTTTCTTTTTCCCACTAGGCCTTTTCTCAATTATCAGAGGATGTACTATGTTTTCATGCAGATGCTGTCTAGTGGTCCTGCATGGCTGGGTATCATTTTGCTCATAACTGTCAGCCTTCTTCCAGATGTACTCAAAAAGGTTTTATGCAGACAGTTGTGGCCCACAGCAACAGAAAGAACCCAGGTAAAAATATCTTTCTTAGTAGAGTTAGTGATATTTACTATGAATCCTTAAAAGTTAGAGCCCTCTAGCATTTTAGAAGCAATAAATGGAGAGAATAGAATGTTTAGTGATAAGTTTGTGTTAGTCATTTTCTTCAGTGTTGAAATTTCACTGTGAGAGCTTTTTGATCAACTCTTCATAAATTATAAGACTGTTGAGAAATAGTTGATGGTACTGATCCAGGCAGTTCATTACAGCTATATACAATGGAAAACCATGTAAAGGCATTTCCTGAGCACAAAATAAAACCAATAGCAAGAAGGCAAGTTTTTTGTAACCAAATCCAAAGTAACTCTTTGCAAAAGAAGTTCCACTCCAATATCAAGAGAAGACTATATGAATGTTTGTTTAATTAATCCATGATTTGTAAATTTAAAAATTAATATGCATATGACTAAGTAGTTTAATACTGCTAATTTATCACGTTACGTGACCCATGTAATCTAATCATTTCCTAGGAAACTATATTACTCTTGTTTGCTGTCTCTAGTGAGGCTGTGGCTTTTACAAAAATTCATGCATTTAAACCAGTTGTTCTCAACCTATTTACCATTTTGGGCCACATATGCAGCTCTCTCTGTGTTATGTGGGCTGCATCCACACAATATATATACTACCCATATAACGCAGAGGATATCACATTGGCCGCAGCTGTGTGATAATTGGGCTGCAAGTGGCCTGCAGGCCATGGGTTGAGAACCACTGATTTAAATGTTACTAATTCATAATGCTATTAGCTCTTTTCATCTATAGTTAAACTTATTTTTATTTTTGTTTCTTTCAATACTCTTTCTAGAATTAATATTCACATATATGAGATGCATATATTCACAGCATACTAAACTACAAACACACTGACATGCACTGTAGTCACATACAAAGACAAGCCTGTTTTCAGATCTCTACTTTCCCCATTCCTTTGATCAGCCAACAGGAAAAACTGCTGTATGGTGTCAATGCAAAACTCCCTTACTGATGAATGAGAATGGAGCCAAACTCAGGTTGTTTGGATGGTAGCCCACAGCACTACTGCCGAGGGCCATCAGGCCAGTTCCAACCTTAAAACTCTCATATCTGTAAGGCAACTCTCAATGCCATTATTCTACATTCCCTGTATGTATAAAACTATAATTGACCCATTTCAATAGGAAAACCAAGCTTGTAGGAATAGCAGAATATTGGAACAAGATTTCTGCACAGATCAGATTGTAGAATTTTTCCATTTGGACCTTTGAAGATAGGATTCTTCGGTATATGACTGCTACTTACAGAAGCTCACTATATCATCAGTTCTCTGATCTCTGTGTAGGCTGTGGGTGCTCGGGCTAAAAACTCTAAAGAGAGAGAATGAGGATGGGTTATAAAACAAAAAAATAAAAAGAGGGTGCGGGGAGGATGTATATCGAATGGCATTTCTCAGTGCCATTATGTGTTAATGTTGGAAAATGAACTAGCTGGAAAGCAGAGTGTGGGCTTAACAGTGGCAATGTTCATTTTTAATAAGGTCTAATATCTCTAGAAAATCTTTAGCTTTTAACCAGATTTATCCCTTGTATTTCTTTCTTCTCTCTCTCTCCTTCCTCCTATCTTCCAACCTGCTTTTGCCTAAATAACCACTACCTTGCTTTAAACATACATGATGTGCACGATTACTTCCTACAATCTTCTGGGGAAATCAGACTAAACATCAGTGCCTTTCTGTTGAGCAGTCCACCATCTTTATGCTTTCTCAGACTTCAAGCAGTCTAAGTTTCTAATGGAATAAAAGGTGATTTTTTTTCTGCCTTTCTGCATGCTTGGCCATTTCATTCAAAAGACAGTAGAAAGCTTAATTATCATCAAAACCTGTTTACTGTTATCATTGTCTCCACTTCTGACTCACATATAAACTACTATTCAGAATAGCTTTTTCCTCCTTGTGTTTATCCTAAAGTGTTTACATATCATTAGTGGTTATCTGAGTCATCTTTGTCACAGTCATTCAAATTTTAGGCAGTAATATTTCTGCTTCAGGAATCAAAGATCTGTGACTGTTTCCCTCCTTTTTGAAGCACTGATGTTTCTGTAGATGAATGCACATAGTGCTTGCATTGTAACTGACTAAGTTGACTGTTCACCACACAAAGAAGTGATAAAGCCCTTAAGCAAGATGATATTGGTTTTACCATTATTTCTAACTTAATAGAGAAATTATGGTATTAAGCCATTTAATGGCTCTTTTGTAATGTGTCTACTCCACTACCGTGGGGGAAAATGCTGCAACTCTGATCTTTTGTTCTGCAGCCATTATTTCCAGCAAAAATGTTTCTTTTTTTAAAGGAAATTTTCCTTGTATTCTACTTCACGGAATTCTATGCTGCTTTCTAGAAAGAAAAAAAAATCTATAAGATCAGAAATAACTGTTGAATTCAAAATATTTAAATTAACAAAAATGTAGGAAATAGATTAGTGAAAGATGCCCTTTTATAGACCAATTTAAGGTGAAATCATGTCCCCATTAAAGTCAATAGCAAAGCTCTCATTGACTTCAATGGGGCCAATCGCTATTGCAGATTTCATATTCATATTTTCTGACTGACCAACATAATAAATAGAATTTTTTTCTTTTCTTTTTTTTAAAAAGTGTTGTCATTTAAAAATGAGTTGTTGCATAAGTCACAGGGAGGACAAATGAAATTAATTTTGAAGTTCAAATTTTTGGCTAAAATTCTCTTCTAAATATGCTAGAATTGGTTTGAATTAGCAGCTTGAACAGCAATGATTTTTAGTTTTTGCATCCCTTCAAATGATAAAGCCTTCTTTATAATATAGTTTAGAGGGCTTCTGCAACAGCTGAAAATATACTGAACCAATTCTAGCTCTACAGAACTTTGTATTTCTAACCTAGAGATTATTTGTGTGGGTGAACAGCTATTTACCATCCATTACCATTAAAAAACATCATTTGAAGTCTGTCCCCGTTTGAAGTTCCATACCAGAGGGGGGTGTTTATGCTAGCTACCTTCCTTTGTTGGGATAAAACAATCAATGCTTCTGCAAAAGCTTTGGAGGAATCTATTGCTATGAGTAACTTTAGACCAAAACCGGCATGCACCTCTCAGACAAGTAGGCTCAATAATTACTGTGAGACTATTTGCCTGTGTGAGGCAAGCTGAATTTGGCCCTTTAATTTGAAATTACACGTGTATGGTGTTTTCTCTGTTATCTATCATACACTGTGGTCCTGTGTTATACCCAAATTGCATTAATTTATTACATTTCCACTACCATTATTCTTTCTTCCCTCTAACTAACAGCAGAAACATCTAATATCTGGCAACATTCATTTGAAAAATGCAAAAGCACGTCAAATGATCTTCTTCCCACTTTTTTATTGGCTCTGTAATTTTACATTTTTAACCCATTAAAAAAAAACAATACCTTTTCCCTTCCATTTGGTTGCTGACAGATATTTTCTCTTTAGTATTTTGCTTCAGTCCCAATCTCAGGTCATCCACCTTGTTATGAAATCTTTGCCTTTTGTTGTTTGTAGAGGAGCCAAAAATGGTACTTTGCTTTAGAAAGGAATAATGGGGACTCTACATACTTCCAGTTTCCTATGAGTATAGCCTGTTGAACTAGAGTGCTTTTATTACGTCAGTGACCAATAAACTATTATCTTTGTCAAGTCGTTGGCTTCTTCTCTTTTGAAAAAAAAGAGGACAGGATTCTGCTTTTGAAGAACTTGAATCCCATGACAACTACTGACCCTTTCCCTGTGTTGGAATGAGTAGTCTTCAAGGTGACCTCCTGTAGCACCAACCCTCATCAGTTTCAAGTGCAACTGCCTATTTCTTCAGTACAGAATCATTCTGCAAATAAGTAAAGGGGACCATTTGCTCTTTAATTTTGGTGGCTGAGCACTTTGAGCTGACATCTCATAAATAAGGCTACGAGTTTGTCACGGAGGTCATGAAAGTCACAGAATCCATGACTTCCAGGGGCCTCCATGACTTCAGCCTGCGGCGGCCGGAAACTACAGGATTTGTCTGAGCTCTGAGCCGCTGCTGGTGGGGGGGTATCCTGCAGCTCCTGAGCGGTGGGAGCCCCTGGGAGCGCCTGGCCACCGGAGCCACAGGTGGCGGGGACCCCGCGCAGCTCCAGCTGGAGCCCCTGCAGCTGTCCAGCTGCCACAGACGGTGTGGAGACTCCGCAGCTCCCCATTTTGTCACCAATGTTTTTAGTCAAAGTCATGGACAGATCATTGGCTTCCGTGAATTTTTCTTTATTGCCCGTGACCTTTTCTAAAAATATCCATGACAAAATCTTAGCCTTCCTCATAAATAAACATTCTACCAGCATAGCTAATAGCCTTGTTCCAGGACAGTTTTGACATTCTTATAGGCACTGTGCTCTCAAGTTATTTGATCATGTCATAAGGAAATCTCTTGTTAATACAAAGAACTTTTTCTGCTGTAATTAATAGTCAAAAGAGTGTGGCAGAACATATACACATTACTAGTTAGTTATGGTACACTGTATATATCTCTGAGAGAGTGATTAGTATTCTATCAGTGGAGTTCAAAATGGGATTAAAGCCATTCTGAGTGGGCAGTATGGCTCAAGGAATTAACCCCAGGATTAGGAATCTACATTTTGATTTAAACCTAACTTTTAAAAAAAATCTATATTGGAAAATTTTATTGCTTTATATGACCTTGATACAACAGTTAGATTTTTATTCTTTACATCTTGAGAAATTCACTCATTTCCCTCATGTATTCAGCAGTAGTCTCAGTGTTTTTCCTCATCCTTGCAGAAGAGTATGAAACATAAAACAACTCTAAATGCACTGGCGAACAGCGATGGGCCACTTCTTGAAGGAACTCTTTCAGCTTCCGAGGCATAATTAGATCAATGCTAGGTAACAGTATTGCACATGTTGCCAGTTTGGAGTCATTTCTATTGGTGTGCTGTGCTAT